GTGTGTGTGTGTATGTGTGTGTGTGTGTGTGTGTGTGTATATATATATATATATATATATAAATAAAAGAGAGAGAGCGTGCAAGCGCTAACAGGATGTGGCAGTTAAAATTGTATTTAAACAAAATTTGAGACACTCCTGAGGAACCAGAGCTGTAGACTTCCTGTTTTCTCCTGCTAGACTGACAGATGATAAAACAAAGTTGAAAGACAGTCCATTGTTTTAAATCCCTATTTTTACTCACTTGCTGCAAATTCCGACCCTTTCCCCGTGGTCTGTAAATACAATAATTAGATTCAGCAAGGTGGTTTTTGTATATGGAAAGCATCAGGGAAATCAGTGAAGTTTTTCAGACACAGGGGTATGATAAACTGCCCCCCAGTCCCTTTAAATATATTAATATTAAATACTATGGTCAGTAACTAAAAAAATGGTTCATGCTTAAACTTTACATTTGCTGGAACTTAAATTCTGATTCTCAAAGGTATTTAGGTGCCTAATTTCTATTGAAATCATGAGATAAGCACCTCTAAGAATCTGGGCCTTAGTCCTTACTGAAATGAAGAAAGTTGGCCCACAAATGAAGTTCTAAGTGACTGAAAAGGACATACTTGATATGTAGTACTATTCTGGCTCTCAAAGTATCCTGAATAATTGAACAGTTGATATGCTGCATGCCAATTGCTAAGTTAACTTTTGGGGTTATGAAGGTAAGATTTGCAGCTTAGAATTTTTATTTGGAAAATAACTGTGTAAAAAGTAACTCAATTTTATCATATAAATATAGACGATACAATTTTCAGAGTTGGGCAGGAACCAGATTTTCCATTTCATGGAAGTTTCCACAATTTCAAAACTTTTTCTGAAATCGAACAAAAACAATTTCAAAATTTCCCATGCTACAACCGTGTTGTGGATCAACTGAAACATTTTGTTTCAATTTTGACATTTTTATTAAAAAAAATATAAAAAATTTTGAAACAAAAAACTGAAATGTGTTGTTCCGAAAATGTCAAGACAGAACATGTTGACCCTACTGAAATGCTTTTTTCTCCTTTAGTCTCCCCCCAAATTAAATTTTGTCAATATTGACACATTTTTGCAATATGCTTCTCTTTCAGTGAATCAGCACTTTCTGATGAAAAAGTGTTCCACTGGAAAATTTCTGATCAGCTCTAGTTCTGAGCACCAACTTCCATTGATTTCAGCTTTGAATTGTAGGTGCCTAGCATCCCCGTAGGAGAAAAAAAAAAAGGCCTGTAAACCATATCAGAGTTTATTATTCTGAAAGATGCTGTAGTCCTCTGTGTTCTTGCAAAAGAGTACAGTATATTTCACCTCTCCAATTTATTGGTGTCATTTTTAATGACCTTCAGACACTTATCGCTCTGTTTAAATCTTCTTGTAGCTTTTCCAAAGTTCTGAAAAACACTGGAGGAGCAAGTGATGAACGGTAACTAAATACAGTTGTTCAGCTGTAAAAACAAAGCAGCAAAAATAAAAAAATGTAGGAGCACAACTCTGAATTATTAAAATAATGGTGGGGATATGCATGTTATATTTAAATCAAATTCTGTAATTGAAAATCTGAATATGTTAGCATTCTTTCTCAATTAAAAAAATCCTCTTAAAAATCTTAATTAAAATATAGCTAAATAATAGCACTACTTAATATTACTGTATATTATCATGTAAGATATTTGAAAGAGCAATTATATAGCAGACATAATAGACATGAATATGTGTGAAGTTCATAGCTCATATATAACAAATGTACACATTTTTAAATAGTATGTGTACAGTCATATAAATGTACACACATTGTATGTACATATGCAGATATACATGCATATGTGTAGTGTGTCTATAAAGAAAAATCTTAAAGATTTTTTTCAACAATCTCATGTTTAAATTTTCAGAGCAGCTAACAGAGATTTCTTTTGCCTCCTTAAAGGTTAGACCTTTTACCCTTTATATACTGCACATTCATTCATACTGAAGTCATCATGCAATAAAGTATGGTAGATCTTTAAGAAGATCCTCAATTACCAAGACATATGCAATAAGATGTCTTTATAAATATCTCTCCAAAACAAAAATACATTTAAATTCTTTAACACGGAAAATGGTTAAGCAAGATGGCATAAAATTTATTGATATTTTCTTTTACTAAGGCACAGGACATAGAAATACTGCGGTACAAAAATGCATATGAGATTTAAAATATAATCTCATTCTGAAAAATAGAAATAAAACTCTTTTGCTCAGAAGATTCAGCTTTTAGCCATTTTCTTCTTTTGTACCAGTTCAACAAGCAACTTGTATCTTGCCACACACTCTTCCTGCAAAAAACAAAAAGACAGTTTTTATCTTTTTAAAGCATGAGCTATGATTTAATATCTTCATATTACTTCTACTGTACACATTCTCTCTTGTAAAATCAGTTAAGTTGTTTTAAAAGTAGTTTTACTATTTAAAAAAAACATAGAAGAATATTCACACATGTATTGAGCTTTCCAAAGGCAAGGGCAATCTACACATAATGAAAAGTGGATTACAAAAAGAATTTTCAGTTTGGGGTTCATTACAGATAACTGATGTTAGAGACCAGAGAAAAATAGGAGAAAATTTGCCTTATATTGATAGTCTCTTTCTTGACAGTGTTTAGCAGAATAATTATTAAAATAGGGAAGTAGCACAGTTTTGTAATATTGTCAACAGTGTGTCTGAAAAATGATTTGCTCTTGGGGTTTGTCTACCTTGGAAATTTACCAAAATAGCTATCCAAGTGTAGACTCTGGGACAGCTATTTCATAAATTTCCAAGCACAGACAAGCCCTTACCATCACTGTAATGTAGCAAACCCATCCTAGAATGTGAACTGCCAGACAATTTTGAGATCTAAAAAGACTGTTTCTGGAACCCCACCCACATTTCCTCCTCCCTAACATTGAACTTTTGGTGCAAGTAAGAGGATGATACCCTGCTGTTTCAGGCATCAACACTGGATTGCACTGCAAATTGAACTGTCACGAATACTGGGTTCTTACTGAACCTAACCAGTGACAAAGTAGAAGTCACTGATAATGGACACATTGCCTCTGTTAGCTCTGCCCAGGACTTTTCTTCCATATAATCTAGTAGGTTTATAATTTCAGCTTCTCCATATGCTTTTGCTTCACTGTCTGGAAATTTAAGAACAGCCATACTGGGTCAGATCAAAGGTCCATCTAGCCCAGTATCCTGTCTTCCAACAGTGGCCAATGCCAGGTGTCCCCGGGGGAATGAACAGAGCAGGTAATCATCAAGTGATCCACCCCGTCGCCCATTCCCAGCTTCTGGCAAACAGAGGCTAGGGTCACCATCCCTGCCCATCCTGGCTAATAGCCGTTGATGAACCTATCCTCCATGAACTTATCTAGTTCTTTTTTTTGAACCCTGTTATAGCCTTGAACTTCACAACATCCTCTGGTAAAGTGTTCCACAGGGTGACTGTGTGTTGTGTCAAGTATCAGGGGGTAGCCGTGTTAGTCTGTATCTACAAAAACAACAAGGAGTCTGGTGGCACCTTAAAGACTAACAGATTTATTTGGGCATAAGCTTTCGTGAGTAAAAACCTCACTTCTTCGGATGCATCCCAAAGATTTATGCCCAAATAAATCTGTTAGTCTTTAAGGTGCCACCAGACTCCTTGTTGTTTTTGTGTGTTGTGTGAAGAAAAACTTCCTTGTATTTGTTTTAAACCTGCTGCCTATTAATTTCATTTGGTGAACCCCTAGTTGTTGTGTTATGTAAATGACGCTTCCTTATTTACTTTCTCCACACCAGTCATGATTTTATAGACTTCTATCATATCCCCCTTAGTCTCTTTTTCAAACTAAAAAGTCCCAGTCTTATTAATCTCTCCTCATACGGCAGCTGTTCCATACCCCTAATCACTTTTGTTGCTCTTTTCTGAACCTTTTCCAGTTCCAATTTATCTTTTTTGAGATAGGGCAACCACATCTGCACGCAGTATTCAAGATGTGGGAATACCATGGATTTATATAGAGGCAATATGATATTTTCTGTCTTATTATCTATCCCTTTCTTAATGATTCCCAACATTCTGTTTGCTTTTTTGCGTGCCGCTGCACATTGAGTGGATGTTTTCAGAGAACTATCCACAATGACTCCAAGTTCCTTTTCTTGAGTGGTAACAGCTACTTTAGACCCCATCACTTTATATATATAGTTGGGATTATGTTTTCCAATGTGCATTACTTTGCGTTTATCAACACTGAATTTCATCTGCCATTTTGTTGCCCAGGCACCTAGTTTTGAGAGATCCTTTTGTAGCTCTTCGCAGTCTGCCTGGGACTTAACTATCTTGAGTAGTTTTGTATCTTCTGCAAATTTTACCACCTCACTGTTTACCCCTTTTTTCAGATCATTTATGAACATGCTGAATAGGACTGGGCCCAGTACAGACCCCTGGGGACACGATTTACCTCTCTCCGTCACTTATATAAAGAAAAATTATGACATCTATTCTAGTATACTGGAATATTAAATAGGTTATTGAGCATTATGACACATGCATCAGAATTACTTCTTTTAATGGTTCATTCAGCAAATCTTAACTGCAGAAGGTGCTACTGATAACCTGCTCTGCTCACATTTTCAAACATTCAGTCACCAAATGCGACCATCAGAATTGTTGAAAACTACAATCTACATTCCTCCAGCCTTTCACGTTTTTAATTGTGAGTAAAGACAGGTACTTTAGAAGAAATGGCAGGCAGTTCAACTTAATTTTTCCAACACAAAGCAAAAAATTAAATTAAACAAAAATAAAGTATCAATAGATATGATGACAATACCCTTTGAGTTGGGCCCTTTAATCCAGTCTGTCACTATCAGATAACTCAAAGACCTCAGGCTGGTAGCTAATTGGTAGGAAAAGTCCTGCCCAGATGTCATATTGCTTTATTATTAGTCTAATTCCATACAAAACATTGACCCTACCTTGCTTTTTCCTGGGACGCATTTTGCTATCTTATCCCAGCGGTCTGATGTTCCCTTTGGATACTGCTGTAAGGCTAGTTCAAGAAGTTTCTGTTGATTTTGAGTCCACAATTCTTCGGAATTGTGGCTTCTCTCTTTTTTTCTGTTCTCATCATCGCTATATTCATCCTGTTCTGTGTTGTTAAAGTCTTTCTGACGCTTTCCCCTGCATTTATCTTCTGCCACCTCTTTCATCGTTGCTAGAGTTATTTCAGATGCTTTGGCTGTTTTTCGCTTGCGGTGTCTGGTTTCGCTTGTCATGGTCTCTCTGTGATCTGCTGGAATAACCATCTGTTCTGGGTCACGATTATAGTTCTCCTCCTCCTCCTCCTCCTCATCTATTTCTCGCTGCGTAATTATATGGTCTGGCAAATCCATGTTGGTTTTGGCATTTCTGGAATTCTGGGCCAAGTTTCTAAGCTCAGAGAGTCTAACAATTCCTGTTGGAAAGAACATTATATGTAAAAACCACTGAAGTCATATGAAAAGGGAACTGGGTGGTGACAAGTGATCTATAGCTGAGAGACAGAGCAGGGAGAGCCCTTGTGGTTGAGAAACCGGGTTACAGAGTCCCCCAGAAACTAAAAGAACTGCAGAGGCAGAGGTTGTGGCATAACCCCCTCTCAGTGGGCTGGTAGCCAGTCAAAATGAGTGTAGGAACAAACAAAATATTACAGGAGTTCTGAGGCTCTCCTCTGCTCGAGCATTTCAAAATGAGAAGAGCAAATTTCCGGATTTCAGAAGTTTTAAAACTTAAAAAAAAAAAAAAAGATCATTCTACCTGGAGTAATCTGCCAATGACAAATTCATCACCTTCAAACACAGGCCAAAATATATTTTGGGCTAGATCCACAAAGAGGACTTAGACTCGGGGTTACAATGCCTAACGTTAGGTGTCCTGCCACCCAGTAGGAGCCTCAGCTCCAAATTAGGTGCCCAGGCTTACTATACAACGCATGAGGAAAGTTAGGTGCCTGACTATAGGATTCATAACCGCCAAAAAGCTGAGTAGGGAGTGTAATCAGGCACGGACTCACCCCTGCGGCGCCTCCTACTGGTAGTCTCGGGAATTAGCTCACCAGTCACCGGAGCGCCCTCTGCAGGCCAGATGTCCCGCCTGTCATTGGCCCCCGTGTCCCTCGCGGACCCCGGTGTCCTTGGCTTGGGTGCTGCGCCCCCCCCCCACTCTCTCTCTGGGTCTCCCCACCCAGGGGAACCCCGACCCCCTATCCCCACCTTGCCTCCGTGTAAGGCTACTGCCAGTCACCAACTAGCCCCCTTTCTCTGGGGCAGACTGCAGTGTATACCACTCATCACTGGCAAGGGGGGTTTGGCCTGCTGCCTTCTTCCACCCTCAGTACCTCTATGGGCCTAGAACCTCTGAGAGGGACCGAGGGACCTGCCGCCGAAGAGCCCAACGTGCTGCCCCTATCCCTTGGCCGTCCCAAGCACCTGTTTGTTGGGCTGGTGCCTGGAGCCAGCCCTGCGGCCAATAAATGTTACAGTAGATTAATCTTTCCAGGAATGATGAAAGTTTACAATTTTCTAAAATTCTCCAATCCTGCTTATTTCTTACCTCTCCCAAAGAAGATTTGAGGAGGAAAGGGGTAGAATGAGATTGAAAGATGTGGGAAGGCTGGGGCATCCAGTGGATACAGGATGAACAAAGAACACCTGGGTTTAAGTCACTGCTCCAAATCAGGCAGGGGATATTTGAACCTGGGACTTCCACATCCTGGGTGAGTGCTCTGAGTGCTAAGGGTGGGGTGTGGCAACACCACCATTTTTTGTGAGAAAGGGCTTAGGAGAGGGTTCACAGCTATGAACCCCAAGTGGAAATAGGCGCCTCCCACTGGCCTGGAATTAGGCGCCTGACTCCCGTTGAGGGATGGGGCTTTGGCCCTACTCCTCTGCTCAGCATTTCTGGCTGGCTAACTTAGGTGGCTCCTGTAGTGCTCCAGCCCTGAAGGGGTTGGAAAAGCCCTGCAGAGGGCTGGGGAAAGGAGCAAAACCCCGGCTGATTGGCGAAGTGGCTGCAGCTGCGCCCACGCCCCAAACAGAGCAACTTGGCCTTATAAGAAGGCCAGGGCAGCCAGAAGCTCAGCAGTCTCGCCTCTAGCTGTGGAGGGAGACAGGCCTGGCTGCTGGGGAAGGTTGAGAGGTATCTGGAGTGAGGCAGGGCTGGGGAAAAGCCAGAGGAGCAGGGGAGCTCCAGGCTGGTGACTCCCCAGGCTGTAGGGTCTGGTTCTAGGCCCATAGAGGTACTGAGGGTGGAAGAAGGCAGCAGGCCAAACCCCCCTTGCCAGTGATGAGTGGCATACACTGCAGTCTGCCCCAGGGAATGGGGGCTAGTTGGTGACTGGCAGTAGCCTTACACTGAAGCAAGGTGGGGATAGGGGGTCGGGGGTTCCCCTGGGTGGGGAGACCCAGAGAGAGAGTGGGGGGGGCAGCACCCAAGCAAAGGAACTATTAAACAATAACCCACAGAAATAAGCAAGGGTTAAAATAAAATAAATTGGAATTTGGCAAGGGTTGAAATAGCTTCCCAGCCCCAGAAAAAGAAATAAAAAGCTTTACAATAAATAAAATAGGCGCAACTTGACATGGGGTTAAATGCATTGTTAAAAGTCCTGTACTGTATTCCCCAAGCCTATATGCCTTTGTCTGTCAGTCATCCTAACTGCAAACTCTTTAGGGCAGAGATTTATCTGGTTTTTTTTGCATATCTGAATTGACTAGCACACTGAGGACATCATTATAATAAATAAATAGAATAATAATACCCTAGAGAGAGCCTTTACACAGCCACCACTAAAGGGAAGACTTCCTCAGAATGCCCATCAACCTTGGTGTCTGCTGAGAGTAGGAGCATGGAGCTTCTACAGCCAAGACCATAAACATCACCTTGAAAGCTGCAAAATGGCCTATACATTGGAAACCCACCATATAAATAATTTGTTATTAACCGCATTGATTAGGACTTAGGGTCACACACCTGGAGTATGTGTAACAGATTCCTTCAGTTGCTTGGTCTTCATGGTAACCTGTTTTTTAAAAAAAAGTCCAAATAAAAAACTGCACTGTTAACACTAGATTATTCATTCAGGCTTTTAAAGATGTCATGAATAGCTTACCCCCAAATACTAACATTTTAACATGTACAAAGTATTACCATGGTATCATACTAATGCTCTTCAGCGAGGTCTTATTCAGCAGGCCATACCAGTTTTAAATTGCTAATAGCTGATTTTTCAGGCTTAGTCTGAAGGGGAAAGGCAGGGAAAAAAACAGGGGTAACGTCATGGCAGGGGCCTATTATAGACTTCCAACTCAGGAAGAGGAGGTAGGTGAGAACAACAACAAAAATATCCAAAACACAAGAACTGGCAGTAACGGGGGACTTTAACTACCCAGACATCTGTTGGAAAAGTAATATGGCAAAACACAAAATGTCCAGTAAGTTCTTGGAATGTACTGGGGATACCTTTTTGTTCCAAAAGGTGGAGGAAGTACCTAGGGAGCAGCCATTTTAGACTTGATTCTGACTAATGAAGAAATTGGTTGGAAATCTGAAAGTGGAAGGCAAGTAGGGTGAAAGTGATCATGATATGATAGGCTTCATAATTCCACAGAAAGGAAGGAATGAGAGCAACAGAATAAGGACCATGGACTTCAAAAATACAGACTTTAATGAACTCAGAGAACTGCTGGTAAGGCCCCATGGGAAGAAAATCTATGGGATACAGGAGTTCAGGAGAACTGGATGTTTCTCAAAGAGACAATATTCAAGGCAAGAGAGCAAATTATCCGGATGGAAGGAAATATAGGAAAAAATAGTAAGAGGACAATATGGCTTCTTCTTAAGCTCTTTAATGATCTGAAAATCAAAAAAGAATCCTACAAAAACTGAAAACATGGACAAACTGCAACGGAGGAGTACAAAAAATAGTACAAGCATGTAGGGACAAAATCAGAAAGGCTAAAGCACAAAATTAGTTACATCTAGCAAGGAACAGAAAAAGCAGTAAGAAGGCTCTATAAATACATTAGGAGCAAGAAAATGCTGAAGGAAAGTGCATGTCCACTACTTCGTAAGGAAGGAGTCCTAACAACAGAGGACATCAAGAAGGCTGAGATGTTTAATGCCTATTTTGCTTCAGTCTTCACTAAAATGGTTAATTGTGACCAGATGCTTTAAACACAATTAACAGTAACAAAAAGGGGAAAGGAACTCAAGACAGAATAGGGAACAAACAGATTAATGCATCCGAAGAAGTGAGGTTTTTACTCACGAAAGCTTACACCCAAATAAATCTGTTAGTCTTTAAGGTGCCACCAGATTCCTTGTTGTTTTTGTAGATACAGACTAACACGGCTACCCCCTGATACTAAACAGATTAAAGAATATTAAGATAAATTAGATGTATTCAAATCAGCAGGGCCTGACAAAGTTCATCCTGGAGCTCTTAGGGAATTAGATGAAGCAATCTCAGAACCATTAGCAATTATCTTCAAGAACTCATGGAGGATGGGTGAGGTTCTAGAGGACTCGAGAAGAGCAAACTTAGTACCCTGCTTTAATTGGGCAAATTGGACTCAGGTAAATACAGACCAGTCAGCCTAACTTTGATAGCTGGAAAGATACTGGAACAAATTATTAACCACTCAATTTGTGGACAGAGAAAAATAGGGTGATTAATAATAGCCAATATGGATTTGTCAAGACCAAATCATGCTGAACCAACCTAGTTTCCTTCTTTGATAGGTTATTGGCCTAGTGGATGGGGGAAGCAGAAGACATTATTTATCTTGATTTTAGTTAAGCTTGTGACGTGCTCCCACATGACTTTCTCATAAGCAAACTAGGGAAAATATGGTTTAGATAAAATTATCATCAGGTGAGTGTACAATTGGTTGACAAACTGTACTCACACTAGTTATCTATGTTTCACTGTCAACTAGGGGCTGTCCTTGGTCTGGTATTATTCAAAATTATCATTAAAGGCTTGAATAATGGAGTGGAGAGCATGCTTATAAAATCTGCATATGACTAGCTGGGAGGGGAACCGGATAAAATTCAAAAGGACCTCAATAAATTGGAGAGAGGTTCAAAATCAACAAGATGAAATTCAGTAAAGGCAAGCACCAAAGTATTACACTTAGGAAGGAAAAAAAATCAAATGCACATCTACAAAATGTGAAATAACTGCAGAAAATGATCTGGTGGCTATATTGGATCACAAGTTGAACATGAGTCAACAATTAGATGCAGTTGCAGCAAAAAAAATCTAATATTCTGGGATGTATCAACAGGAGTGCCATATGAAAGACACTCCTGGTAACTATCTCACTCTAGCTGGCACAGGTGATGCCTCAGTTGGAGTACTAGGTCTAGTTTTGGGCATCCCGTTTCAAGGAAGATGTTGACAAATATTTAAGATTCCACAGGAGAGCAACAAAAATGATGGAAGGTTCAGAAAACCTGACCTATGAGGAAAGGTTAAAACAACTGGGCATATTTAATCTTGAGAAAAGACAACCGATGGGGGAACCTGATAACAGTCTTCAAATACATTAAAGGCTGTTATAAAGAGGATGGTGATCAATTGTTCTCCATGTCCACTGAAGGTCGGACAAGAAGCAATGGGCTTAATCTTGTGGAGTCCAGAAGCCATGAGCTATATGATCATTCAGGTGCACTTCCCAACCCAGTAGTGAGGCATCTGTAATGAGTTTCTTTGTGGATGGTGAGGAAACAAAGGGAACCCCTTTTGTTTCCCACCAAATGAGGGATCTGAGGACACTCAGAGAAAGTGAAACTCATTTATCCAGGGTGCATCTGCTTGAGCAGAGACCATCCACAACCATGTTTGGAGGCCCTGGAGGTGGAGCATTGCAAAACATGTCACATAGGTGTAGGTGGTCATATGGTGTAGAAGGACGACGCAGAACAGGACAAGCATCTGCAGGCCGAGACAGAGTTGGACAATGAGGTCGCTGATTGTAAGGAATCTGTTCTCTGGTAAGTATGCTTTGTCCAGAACTGAGTTCTGATTTGCTCTGGTAAACTCTATAACTTGCGGGTGGGTGGGGGGTTAAACTGGACTTTTCTAGATTTACCTGAAGTCCCAATAAGTGAAAAAAGTAGAGTACTGAGAAGACCACTATCTGTACCTCCTGATACAATTCATTCTGTGAGCAGCCAACTGTCAAGTTAAGGAAATACCAGGTTGCCTTGACAATGCTGATATGCTGCTATCATGGAGAGCATCTTCGTAAAAACTCTCAGTGCCTCCAAGAGGCCAAAGGGAGAATTCTGTATTGAAAGTACCCTCGGCCCATCGTAAAGCACAGTAATCACCTGTACTCTGAAGGAATGTCTATATGGTAGAAAGAATCCTTCAAAATTGGGGGCCACAAATCAGTTGCCTTCATTTAGGGAAAAGACTACTGAGGCTGAGTGGGTCATCCTGAATCTTAACTGGTGTATGAAGACTTTCAGCTGTCTGAGTTCTAGAATGGGTCTCCAGCCCAACCTTCTTTTTGGAGATGAGGAAATATCTTGAGTAAAAGCTTTGTCCCTGTCTTGAGGAGAGACAGTCTCTGTCCCTAGGTGAATTAAGGAGTCCACCTCCTGTTTGAGAGGCCTCTTGAGAGGGGTCCCTGAAGAGGGACGGGGAGGGGAGTTTTTAAGAGGGAGTAGAAAAAAAATGGTTCCAAAACTTCCATAACTGTTGTTCTTCGAGATGTGTTGCTCATGTCCATTCCATGTTATCTAACTGTGTGTGCTCGCCACATGCACCGGTGCTGAAAGTTTTTCCCTCAGTGGTATCCATAGGGGACTAGCTCTGGTGGCCTCTGGAGTGGCGTGCATATACATTGGTATTAGGGGCACCACTAACTCCCCCCCTCCGTCAGTTCCTTCTTGCCAGAACGCCCAGGGAAGGAGGGCAGGTCATGGAATGGACATGAGCAACACATTGAAGAACAACAGTTATGGAAGGCTAATAGCCATTTTTTCTTCTTCGAGTTCTTGCTCACGTCCATTCCATGTTAGATGACTCCCAAGCAGTATCTCCAGAGGCAGGTAGGAGTTCGTGGATATGTTGATTGCAACACAATTCTGCCAAAGCCAGCGTCATCTCTGGCCTGCTGAGGTTGTGAAGGTGTGCACTGAAAACCATGTTGTGGCCCTGCAGATATCCTGGATATGTACTTGTGCTAGGAAGGCTGCTGACGACGCCTGAGCTCTAGTTGAATGGGCGTACAACCCGCGCCAACTTGTAGCAAGTACGTATGCAGGTAGTAATCCAATATGAACGCTTTGAGAAGACACCAGGAAACCTTTCATCCTGTCAGCCACCACAGCGAAGAGTTGAGTCAATCTACGGAAGGGCTTGGTATGCTCTAAGTAGAATGTCAGAGCCCACCTGACATCTAGCATGTGCAAGCGCCTCTCCTCACTGGACATCTGAGGCTTTGGGCAGAACACCGGAGGAAAATGTTCTGGTTAACATGAAAAGGTGGGCGAGGCAGGAGGGCGAGAAGAACTGCAGGCATAAGGAGTGGGGAGAGGTCCCCACTTGCTCTGGCCCAGGGCCTCACAAACCCCCAATTCACTTCTGCTTGCAAGTTTTCTTCCTTTGTTAAGACTCAGTATGGGAGGGTTTAGGATTTTTAAAATCACTCAAAATTGCATCTTCCAACCTCATTAGGGCTAGACTCATGCTCTGCTTCCTTCAACCTCAGCTCTATAAACCTTCTATAAAAATTTAGCTTCTTCTGCATGTTGGGCATGATCCCACCAGTGCAGTCTTGTTCTCAGCTGGTGCAAGATTGCAAGTTGTTGGGACTGTCTATAATGGTATCATGAGTATAAGGGTAAAGGAATTTGTAAGAGGGATTGAAGGGGTTGTAAAATGTAGTGTATGTGGTATTCCTTCTGTGGAGTAGGCTACGTGTATGAATGTAGGGCAGATGTAGGTACCTCTGGTTCAGTACAGGGCAAAGGAAGAGAGAAAGTATGTTTGATGGTAGTTTTGGG